GATGTCAAGAAATTGAGGAGTAAAATTGTTGCTCCACAAACAGAATGCTCAGATGAACAGACAGTTCTAACTGCTGGTGTCCCTGCAGCTACCATGCATTGCATTTTACCTGGGGTTCCAGATAATGCAGCTTGAGCTCCTGTCAAGGTCAAGAGGCCACCTTCTTTCAGATGTTTCGTGGCTAGGTGGCTGGATATAGTTGATGTCCAAACGCTCTGCTTCCACATCAGATCACAGTTTTTGTATAAAGCTGATTAGGAAAAGAATTAGTGAAATTAGCTGTAAGATAGAAGACTTCCACCTCTAATTTCCTGACTGTCACACAGAGCGCAACATCACTATGAAACATGTTTTCTACCATTTCCTACTTCCACACTGGGTAAAACATCCATTTAGGTCTTTTGGATCTTCTTTCTCTTTGAGATCTGAGTCCCAGGTCTACATCAAACTTTCCAGGCAATTATCTGCTTTTTCACTACCAGAAATAGGAAACCAAACACAAGATGGTTCCATTTGCCCTCCATTAATGGTTCAAAGATTTCCAAGTTCTTTAAACTCCTGTAAGAGTTGTTTCAATCTATGCTAAGGATCTGAAAACTCTCACATTAGCCTCATCTCACCTTGATCTGCCTCCTTCCATAACTTCCTCACTGGCTGAAAAAGATGTATGCAGATATAAGACTCCAAGAGATAAAGGAGTAGAACATAAAATATTGCTTAGCACCTGATTACTTCATAAACCAAAAAACAACCTGTCTGACTGACAGTAGTGCACTGGTATGGAATATCAAAGACATATGAATCTGCACTGTACCAAGTGGGCCTTCCAGTGCTCCTACATACTGGAGTGCAACCCCTGGTAAGGCAGCTTAGCAGGGCAGGTACACCAGCAACTTTAAATGAAAGCAAAACCTGAATTCTCATAGTTGCTTTCTATTGTGAATATCTGCATGGGAAAAGAAGCAAATCAATAACTAACCATGTAAAAGATTTTAGCATTCAGAAAGAACTGAATATGGAATAAGGATAAATAACTGACATGAGCTGACCACCTATAACCAGGATATCCTGCTACCCTAAAAACATCCAGTGCACATTAGTAACAATTTAATATAATGAAACTGTGGAGTGTGTATGACATGGACATTCATTCCATATTGTGTCTCTAAAAAAAAAAAAATCTTTCCCTGTAACATCCAAACTGAAATGAGGAAGAAAAGGGACAGATCAACTCCAGACAGAAAACAAGGCTATTTTCCTTCTTGCATCTCTACTGTAGAGGGTACAGTATAAAATTTGACTCTGAACACTGCATGTTTAAAAGCCTTTTTAAAACTTTAGGGGGTTTTCTGCAGCACCTTCCAATACCGTATTGCACAGTAACAGCTCAGAGGACTGCAAGAGGTTTTATGCATAAAGCAATGAATTAGGAAAAAACATCAATGTTTCTATCCAGCACTGTGTTTTGTAACTTACCTGACACAAGTAACCTTGGCAAAGTCAGTTCATACATAATGTTGACCTCCTTCATAAAGCGCATGGAAATTTTTTGGGTAAAAATTGTTGTCTCAACAAGCACTACTGAGAAAACCAAGTGCTGTGCACATTTAACAGACAACAGAGAAGCACTGTGACAAAGCTATTTTGTACTTTTATGCTTTTGTCCTCTTCTGGAGCCAGGAAGAAAGACAATTTCAAATACCTTTACTACCATGATTTTTAAGGATTCCTCTTGGATATCATTTATGTTTTCACCAGCAATAATGTACCAAAGGCTTACATTTGGCTTTGGCACTGCCTCCAGCCCATCCTCCTGCTACACACAAGATCGCATCCAACTTTTCTTCACCAAGAAGTTTTCCAATCTCTGCTGTCACCTGCAATATACAGAACAAAAACATATTGAAAAGACTGGACCTATAAGGTAAAGGAGTAAATATTATGAATGCCTTAAAGTTACTTTTTTGCACTTAAGTACTTGAGTAACACAACACACAGCAATTTAAACCGCTACAGAAAATTAGTATTTATGATCCATGAAATCAAACCAACATAACTGTTTTGAAATATAACTACAGATGAAAGTCAGACCAAACAGTGTGATGTCCTTGGAAAGAACTCACCTGAGCAGGACTGAAACATCTGACCCTTACCTGTATCCTTAACAAAAATTATTACTGACTTACTTTCAGCAAGTTCTCTTCTGGTGTCCTTTAACATGGGAAATGAAACCCCAAGTCTGACCAGGACTCCTGGTGTCACTTTAGCTGACAGTGCAAGAAATGATCAACTAACAATTAGCCTTTTTAGTGTTTCTATCTAGACCACAACTATCAGTTTGAACCTGGCCACTAAATCCGCATTTGTATACTTTTAGATATCCTATACCTTTTCCTCTTCAAAATATAAGACCTCACAGCTGGTAATGAAGTTGGTGGCTAAGAATTTTCTCTGCCAAAGTGAAAAGCAAACAATACATCTGTCAACAAAAGAAACATCCACTGGTTTTCACAAAAGGACATTGAAAATTGTGTTGCATTCTGTTACTCTTTAAAAGACTTAAGAGTTGTATAGATAAAAAGAAAACATATTGGCCAGAGATTCAGTTTATTAGTAAGAAGAATAGGCCCCAAAGTTAAAATGTATAGAATAAATCCTCTCCATTGAGAATAAACAATTTTTAAAATAGCACAGATTCTCCCATATTTACCTTTGTGGAAACCAGTGCATTCCCTAGAAATCCCTTGGGGCTTAGGTTTGCATGCTTTGAGCATAACACCTACCTACACACAGCAAGTTTGTAAGTTATATATTCAAAAGACTCCTCACATTTCAAGATGTCGTTATCCATCCTCACTACACTCACACAATTCAGCCGGAGACTTTTAAAGTCACCAAGACAAAGCAAAACAGCCTTACTTCCACTATCACAGATCAAGCTCCTTCTGCATATTCATGCAGTTAAAAGGAATTTACAACAATTAAGGAGGAGCCACGAGCAGAAGGGCCTTGGGGTTCACGTTGCAGCCGCAGGACCAACACCGGCTGAGCTCCTGCAGCAGTGGGAGAGGCTTGGGGGTGACTGGGTGCTAAGGGATGCACACTGGGGGTGACTGGGTGCTAAGGGAGGCACACACTGGGGGTGACTAGCTGGGTGCTAAGGGATGCACATACTGGGGGTGACTGGGTGCTAAGGGATGCACACTGGGGGTGACTGGGTGCTAAGGGAGGCACACACTGGGGGTGACTAGCTGGGTGCTAAGGGATGCACATACTGGGGGTGACTGGGTGCTAAGGGATGCACACTGGGGGTGACTGGGTGCTAAGGGAGGCACACACTGGGGGTGACTAGCTGGGTGCTAAGGGATGCACATACTGGGGGTGACTGGGTGCTAAGGGATGCACACTGGGGGTGACTGGGTGCTAAGGGAGGCACACACTGGGGGTGACTAGCTGGGTGCTAAGGGATGCACATACTGGGGGTGACTGGGTGCTAAGGGATGCACACTGGGGGTGACTGGGTGCTAAGGGAGGCACACACTGGGGGTGACTAGCTGGTCGGCCTGCTCGGGGAAGGAGTCTGTCGCTCTCACCACCACGCTGGCGCTGGCGTCCGCGTTCTCCGCCAGGTCGATGCTGACCACC